AAATATCTCAAGTATGAAGTAACAGACCTCGTCCCCCTCATCCTCGTCCACTCCATTTTGCTTGGCAAGTTTTGCTGACTTATTTGGTCGCGCCATATCGGTAATCTGTGAACCGCATCCTGTCGTCGTCGTCGTCGCTTCCCTCTCAACCATTTGCTGGTCACTTTTCTCCGACATCACATCTTCTGAAACAAAAATGAAATGCAGAAAATTATTAGCTCCAAAAAAAGTGTGTATTTTCGGGATTTTTAGGCCGATATTTCCGGGATTTCGATCGAGATTTAGAGATATTCCCGAGATTAGAACTCTATTTAGAGATATTTTCGGAATTTTTAGATCAAAATAATCAGCATCAGTCGCTAAGTTAATTATTAGATTCAAGCACAACTATAAATGCTATTCATTGAGCAAATATTAGCTGACACTGTCAATGAAAGTTTGTAGAAAGTGGTTTTTTGTGCACTGCAGTAGTGCAAAATACAACAGAACAAACGCATAACAAATATTTAACAAATGAAATACAACAAAAACCACTTAATTTATATACTGAGAATACCAAGGCCACTTAGGCTAACGGTGTGGTATGCTCTGTTAATGATGTTACTGGGATGCTCCCACACGCCGAGTGCAGCTATGCCAGGCCTTTCGATGCTGAACTACATGTCTCCAGTTAGTACCCAGTGCCTGTTCTATGTATGTGTGTCACCTCTTCGGAGATCGTCCGAGTAGTCGCTTATTGTGCGTTTTTTGCAGCAACGCAATGCGAAAAACGCATATTGACGAGAAGTTGTCTGTGTGTGTATGTGTGTGCGTCTGCGTGTGCGCTGCGCGTCTGTACCGATTTTTCATCTCAAGACCCACAAAAGCTACAGGGCTGAAAATTTGGGGACTTAATCTACATGCACGTACGGGCACCCAACCTCAAAATGGGCGGTCTTTCCCGCGAGGTACCCACGTAAGAGCCCGCCAAAGTTTTTTACGAGTAAGCTGCTAACTCGCAAGCCGGAAAAGCTAGAGAGCTGAAGTTTTATGGAAATGTTCCCTGTCCAAGTAGGTACTAATTATGCGTTTTGTGCTGTGTAACAGCGTTACAAAACGCATATTGTCAGGGGGTTGCCTGTGCGTGTGTGTGTGTGTGTGTGTGTGTGTGTGTGTATGTGTGTGTATGTGTCCCACATTTTGTCCCGCACTTTCAACTCGAGAACCA